TACTTTTTATGGTTTTTTTAACTTAATAGGCTCAGATGAGATTTGGTCTCCTATTTTGCCTTATGCTTAATGAAGAACACTCTTTACAGCTATTTTGGAAAAGGAAGATCAAAAGTCAGTTTACGAAGCTTTACTTTGATAAAAAATAACTGAGCATGAAAATTCAAATACTCTTGTCAGTAGAAAAGCAGTACAGTGAAAAATAAAAACATAGACATCAAAGTAGTAGCAGGAAATATCTTATAATAATGCCTCAAGGTGCATGTGCTAACATTTTTTTTAAGAGCTTGAACACATACTTAGAATTTCAATGTCCACTGATATGCCATATTAAAAAATTAATAGGTAAAGCTAGCATTTTGAAAACTTACTACAAGAGGCTAACAGAATGCTATAGTTTTTGTAATAATTATGAATATTATTAAAAATAATTTTGTGCTCTATTAATACTAAATATAAACATAAAAAACAAATGCATAACCAAAATTCAAAGAATAGATTTAATATTAATTTAAAGCACCTCAAAATTTTATATAATCATGTGATTTGGAAAACCTTCTAAGAGGTTTAAGCCATTTTCTATATTGTCATTAATATTGTATAAGGGAAACCAAAAATTAAAAGAAGTTGAATGAAAATGACAAAAATAAAGTAAGTTGGATATAAGAATCATCTTCCCTCTATACTGTACCATTGGTCTACGAGTCTATTTTGGTGCCAACATCATTTTTGTTACCATAGCTCTGTAGTATAGTTTAAAGTCTGGTATAGTGATGCCACCTGCTTCACTTTTCTTGATAAGGATTGCTTTGTCATTTTGGGTCTTTTATTTTCCCAAATAAATTTCATGATTGCCTTTTCTATTTCTATGAAGAATGTCATTGGGATTTTAATAGTAATTGGATTAAATCTGTATAATGCTTTGGTAGTATGGCCATTTTGACAATATTAATTCTGCCTATCCAGGAGAATGGGCGATCTTTCCATCTTCAGAGGTTTTTTTCAATTTCTTTCTTTAGTGTTCTGTAGTTTTCATTGTAGAGGTCTTTCACCTCATTTCTTGGATTGATTCCCAGTTTTTTTTTTTTTTAGTCTATTGTGAATGGGGTAGTTTTCCTAATTTCTCTTTCAGTGGATTCATCTCTGATGTATAAGAATGCATTTGATTTATGGGTGTTGATTTTATATCCTGCAACTTTGTTAAATTCATTTATTCTAGAAGTTTTCTGGTATAATTTTTTGGATCTTCTAGATATGGAATCATGTCATTAGCAAATAGTGATAGTTTGAGTTCTTTTTACCTATTTGTATCCCTTTAATTTCTTTCTTTTGTCTAATTTCTCTGGCTAGAGTTTTAAGGATGATGTTGACTAGAAATGGTAAAAGAGGACATTCTTGTCTTGTTCCAGTTTTTAGAGGAAATGTTTTCAATTTTTCTCCATTTAGAATGATGCTGGCCTTGGGTTTAGCACATATAGCATTTACAATGTTGAGATATATTCCTACTACCCCTAGTTTTCTAAAATAAAAATAAAAATAAAAATATGAATGTGTGCTGTATTTTGTCAAATGCTTTTTCTCCACCTATTGAGAAGATCATATGATTCTCGTATTTAAGTCTATCAATATGATAAATTTATTTATTTCTGTATGTGGAACCAACCCTGCACCCTTGGGATAAACCCTAGTTGATTGTGGTGCACTATCTTTTAAAATATTTTTGTATGAAATTTGCCAGAATTTTGTTGAAAATTTTTGCATTTATGTTCATCAGGGATATTGGTCTGAAATTTTCTTTCCTTGTTGTGTATTTGTATGGTTTTGGCATCAGGGTAATATTAGCCTCATAGAATGAGTTTGGAAGGGTTCCTTCCTTTTCTATTTCATGAAATACTTTGAGGACTATTGGTGTTAATTCTTTTTAAAAGTATTGTAGAACTTAGCTGAGAATCCATCTGGTCCTGGGCTTTTCTTGGTTGGTAGGCTTCTGATGGTGTTTTCTATTTCATTACTTGAAATTGATCTCTTTCAATTGTGTATAACCTCCTCATTCAGTTTGGGAAGATCATATGTCTCTAGAAATTTGCCGATGTCTTCAATAGTTTCTATTTTATTGGAGTATAAATTTTCAAGATAGTTTCTAATTATCTTCTGTAATTCAAACATGTTCATTGTGATATTTCCTTCTTTATCTTGTATTTTAGTAACTTGAATTTTCTCTCTTTTTCTCTTTGTTAACATGGCCAGTGGGTTATCTATTTTATTTATTTTTTCAAAGAACCAACTATTTATTTTGTCAATTTTTTGAATTGTTTCTTTTGTTTCAGTTTCATTGATTTCAGCTCTGATTTTAATTATTTCCTGTCTTCTACTGATTTTAGTATTCATTCTTCTTTTTCTAAGGCTTTGAGATGTAATGTTAGTTAGGTCATTTATTTGTTGACTTTTTATTTTTTAATGAAGGTTTTCAGTGCAATAAACTTTCCTCTTTGTACTGCTTTCATAGTGTCCCAGAGATTTTGATATGTTGTATCAATATTCTCATTTACTTCTAAGAATTTTTTTATTTCATCCTTGATTACTCCTACTATCCCTTCATCATTCAATCGTGTATTATTTAGTCTCCATTTGTTACATTTTTTATTTTATCATTGATTTCGAATTTCATTGTGATCTGATAGAATGCAGGGTAGTATCTCTACTTTTTTGTATTTACTAAGAATTGCTTTGTGGTACAAGATATGGTATATTTTAGAGAAGAAGCCATGTGATGCTGAGAAGAAAGTACATTTGCTCGTTGATGGATGAAATATTCTATATATGTCTGTTAAGTCTAAATTACTGGTTGTATTATTTAGTTCTATAGTTTCCTTATTGAGTTTTTGTTTGGAAGATCTGTCCAGTAGTGAGAGAGGTATGTTAAAGTCACCCAGTTTTATTGTGCTATGGTCTAGACAAGGTTGCCAAAAACATTCACTGGAGAAAAGATAGCCTATTCAACAAATGGTGCTGGCAAAACAATCCATAAGTAGCAAAATGAAATTAAACCTTTATCTCTCACCCTGCACAAACGTCAACTCAAAGTAGATCAAAGACTTAGGCACTAGAACAGAGACCCTGAGCCTAATAGAAGAAAAAGTATGCTCAAATCTTCACCATGTCAGCCTAGGATCTGACTTCCTTAACAAGACCCTAAAGTTCAAGAAGTAAAATCAAGAATCAATAAATGAGGGCCTGGGGTTGTGGCTCAGTGGTAGAGTGCTTGCCTAGCTTGTGTGAGACACTGGGTTCCATTCTCAGCACAACATATAAATAAATAAAGGTCCATCAACAACTAATAAAATATTTAAAAAAAAGAATCAATAAATGAGATAGATTCAAATTAAAAAGATTTTTCTCAGCAAAGGAAACAATCAATAATGTGAGGAGAGAGCCTACAGATTGGGAGAAAATATTCACCACATGCACTTCCCATAAAGCATTAATCTCTAGGGTATATAAAGAACTCAAAAAACTTAACACCAAAAAAACAAATGACCCAATCAATTAATGGGCTAAGGAACTGAACAGATACCTCACAGAAGAAGAAATATAATCAATCAATAAATACATAAAAAAGTGTTCAACATCTCTAGCAATCAGAGAAATGCAAATCAAAACTACTCTTAAGATTTCATCTCAATCCAATCAGAATGACAATCATCAAAAATACAGACAATAAAAAATGTTGGTGAGGATGTGGGGAAAATGGTGCACTCTTATATTGCTGGTGCAACTGAAAATTGGTACAATCACTATGGAAAGCATTATGGAGATTCCTCAGAAAACTTGGAATGGAACCACATTTGACCCAGTTATTGCACTCCTTGGTTTATACCCAAAGGACTTAAAATCAGCATACTATAGTAACGCAGCCACATCAATGTTTATAGCAGCTCAATTCACAATAGCTAAACTATGGAACCAACCTAGGTGTCCTGAAATAGACGAATGGATAAAGAAAATGTGGTATATTTATTCAATGAAATATTACTCAGCTTTAAAGAAGAATGAAATTATGGCATTTTGCCAGGAAATGGATGGAGTTGAATAATATCATACTAAGTGAAATAAGCCAATCCCCAAACACCAAAGGTCTAATGTTTTCTCTAATATGTGGATGCTAATTCACAATAAAGGGGGGAGTTAGAGAAGAACAGAGTTACCTTAGATTAGGTAGAGGGAAGTAAAGGGAGGGGTAGGGAGGAGATGTGGGGATAGGAAGGATAGTAGGACAAAACAGACATTATTACTTTATGTGTATATGTGACTGCATGACCAATGTGATTCTACAACACGTACACTCAGAAAAATGAGAAATTATATCCCATCTATGTATGATATATCAAAGTGCATAAATGCATTATACTGTCATGTAAAAAAAATCGATGTCACAAAAATAGAAGGAAAGGGACTGGGGTTGAGACTCAGTGTAGAGCACTTGCCTAGCATGTGTGAGGCCCTGGATTTGATTCTTAGCACCACATATAAATAAATATATAAAATAAAGGTACTGTGTGCATCTACAACTTAAATAAAATAAAAAAATAAAAAAAAAAAAAAAAAAAAAAAAAAAAAAAATACAACTTAAAATTTTTTTAAAAAAATAGAAGGGAGAACAGCAGAGCAGCTGAACGGGATCACCAGAAGGAAAGCCAGGAGGGAAAGGGGATGTACTGGGGAATGAAATGGAGCAAACTATGTTATGTGGATGCATGAATATGTCACAATGAACTCCATTATTATGTATAATTATAATGCACTAATGAAAACAATCAAAATAAAATATACATCACATCACAAAAATAAAAAATAAACACGTCTCTCAAAAAAATATCATCTTCCCCCTTTAAAGATAATTGCAGTATATTAACACCTGAACACACACAGATTCAACAATATATAATACCCACACCTAAAATGAAAAAGTGATGAATTTATGAAGAATACGAATGACCAACCTGGCGTTTCTGCGACTCCGTTTCCGTTGACCACAGGCCTTTCCTCCTCCTCCTCCTCAGGAGGCTCTATACTTGCTTTCTCCATGTTGCTCACTGACTTATTTCTCTTCCGTTTTCCTTCGGCACTTGGAGTGGCTCCCGGAAGTATCTGGTCTGTTACATTTAATAATAATGGTGCTGGTTCAGCAGGAGGCTTTGGGGTACCGTAGTAATTGTCTGCAAATGATATCCAAACATTCTGGAATTAAATTTTTTTCCAACTGCTTGCATAAACTTGTACAAAAATGGAAATCATATTGACAAATTTTGATCCATTCTAATATATATATGGGCGGACACATACAAGTATGTGGTTTTATGTCCTTTGTTGTTTCTACTATATTGGGCTTTAATGCATAAAGACATAGATCTATTTTCATTATCATCTGTGTATTGAAACGAAATATAGTCTCATGCATTATTCCCAAGTGGTACAGTTAATTTCAAAATTATTCAAGTGATTTTGATGACAAGACTTGAGTATAAACTTTTAATGATAATTAGGTTAAGAGTCCATGTAGGGGCTGGGGTTATGGCTCAGTGGTAGAGCGTTTGCCTAGCATTCTGAGGCACCAGGTTCCAGCTTTAGCACCACATAAAAATAAATATAATATAATAAAATAATAAAGGTATTGTGTCCCTTAAAAAAGGAAAGAGTCCACGTGACTTTTTTTTTTTTAAAGTCCCACACTGTTTTAGAGATGTGAAGCACCCTGTGCTTTTCTTCGGCTTCCAAGGAGCTGTGGCTATTGGCCTTGATATGTGCAGTACCCTACTAAGAGCTGTAGCTTCATGCCAGGTGTGTGGTTCCTGTAGCTGCTGACAGTCCTGAGGCTCTAATCATTCTCCATATCACCACAGCTTGTTCCCATAGCTCTGTTATCTGAGATATGGAATCATTTGTTTTCCCAATCAGTCTGGGAGACTTAAAAGAGAGACTAATTCTTATTTATCTCTGTAATAACAACCTGGCACATAAATAAGCATGGGATTTGCCTTTATATGTTCAAGACAAATCACTTATTTAAAATATTCTAAAATTTTGATTGATAAAGAACAGTGGTATCTTTTTGTAAAAATGAATCTCATACTTTTAACATCAACTTCAAGCCCATGTTGTTCTTTTTGGTTAATTGAGTAATTTATGCACTCATCTGCTCACTCATTAAAATCTTTATTACTACTGACTCTGCACCCAGGTACTCCAGGATGTGTTTGTGGGAAAACAAGGAGTATTAAAAAAATCTTTTTTTTTCCAAGGTATTCAACAGTCTGGTGTAGAAAATCAAATTTGACATCATACAGATAAGCTTTGAAACAGGAAATGTATTGAACACTGCATCAAGGAGATATAGAGGAAGACGGAACACACCTCGATTTTTGGAGAGGTCATTGATGATATCTGGGAAAGCAAAGTGCCATGAAAGAAACAACCCTGAACTGGAAGATGTAGGATCTAGGCTTTTCTACAGAACTAAACTTCAAGTAGTTTACTTAACCTCAGTAGGGCTCAGATTCGCTATCTATAAAAGGGGACTAGCAATAACTGTTAAAGTCACTTGTGTTCTGGATTGTAAACAACCAAAACATATTCCACTTAGGTTACACACAAGAGTGATGTGCTGAGAAGATAGGCGATGGCTGTTAAGTCTCAGGAGACGGAGGCAGAGCCCATTTTATTTTCCACAAATTTCATCTGTGGGATCTCCCCACAGGGAAAGGGCTTTGGGATGCTGGGCAGGCAGAAATAACAACATTCCACTCCACTTGCCTTCCTCACTTGGTTGTTATCGAGATGAAGTCAGAATGCATGAGGAAGAGCTTGTAAACTGTAAAAGTGCAATGTTTTTAATGGCAGTGTGACCTCATGCTGGCATGAAGTGAGCAAATATCCTGAAGAATGGCCATGCTACCAGTGTTCTTGCCCATTTTTTTTTTTTAGATATTCACAGTTGTAAAAGTAATGTAAGGAAAGATTTTTACTTTGTAAAGTGGTTCTTATAAATGCATGTGTTAGTGGTTTTTTTTGCTCCATTATAGACTCTGCAAAGTGGACAGTGTACATTTTGCTAAAAGTTACTTTTTATTTTGATTTGGAGAATTTCACATGCATCAAATCCTTACATGTAACAGTCAAATTCTGAGCCAAACAGAAATCACTAGCTGCTCCAAGAAGTTAATGAACTATTATATGTCAGCATTCCTAAGGGCTAGCAAAGTTCTCAGTACACTGCTCTGCTTTCTGTGGAATCTTAATATATACTTATCTAATAAACATAATGTAAAAACTAGTAAATAACCCTCATACATCTCAATAAATGATATAATTTTAATAGTATTTTGAATCTTTAATGCCTTTAAATATACATATTTCTAAGAAAAACAGATCACACTTCAGTGTTTCTTAATTCATTTGTGTTTTAAGTTTTAAATTTCCCTGAAGGAACTGGCGTGATGGTGCATATATGTAATCCCAGTGATTGGAAAGGCTTAGGCAGGTGAACTGTAAGTTTGACGCCAGCCTCAACAATTTAGTGAGACCCTGTCTCAAAAATAAAAGAAAGCCATCTCTTATCTCTTCAGCCCATCACTCTTGTGTTTAACTTAAGTGGATTATGTTTTGGTTGTTTAAAGCCCAGAACACAAGTGACTTTAACAGTTATTGCTATTCCCCTTTTATAGATAAACCGAGCTCTACTGAGGTTAAGAAAACTGCTTGAAGTTTAGTTCTGTAGAAAAGATCAGATCCCACGTCTTCCACCACAATTTACTGAGCTGCAGATGTGGCTCAGTGGCAAAGTGCCCCTGGGCTCAATCAACAGTACCAAAAAAAAAAAAAGAAAGAAAAAGAAAAAAGTTCCCAAAAGTAAATAATTTTTTTTTAATTAGAAGTAAATGCATACCATGGACTAAGCTAAATATTAAATAACAGGTCCTGATGAATTTTATTAAGTAATTATACCTATTGGTATCATGTGCCAATTTATATAGTAATAGTCTTTTTCCACAACTCTATTCATGAAACTAACAGATTAATTTTTTGTATGTAAAATTGTATGAATTGTTTGAATCATTAGGTAAGACATTAGATTATCTTCATTAGCAAAAATAGTAGTTTAAAAGTGGTACAGAAACAATCCATACAGTTACTACAGAGAGAAATACATTTCATGGGGGAATAATCTATTATACCAAAGCAAGATTTTTTATCCTAATGCATAAGGAACACTCAGAGAAACAGCAGAAGAATCAGCCAAGCCAACAAGTATGTAAGCCAGTGAAATTACTCTTAAAGTGTATATAGCTTCATATACAAGAATAAAAAGTGCCTTTTAAAAATCATATCAGTGTTTTCAAATATCAAACTGTTTTAAAATATAATTTGAAAATATTGTCCCACTAAGAATAAAGTGATCCTATGCATAGTGTCAGGATTCAGTGAATGTAGAAGTCTCAAAAAACAAGCAAACCACCCCCCACCTCCCCACCCCCAACAAAATAATGTGATGGTGAACAGCATTGATCTTGATGGAAAAAAAACTGAGTTTGAATTCCCTCATCTAATATTTGTGTCCCTTAATCTCGCTTCCTCTTAATATCCTTAAATCAATTTTGCTAAATAAAACAGGAATGCAGCTGTAAAATAACAACAGTAACAAAAGCAACGATAAACTGGGCAAGGTAGTACAAGCCTGCAGTGCCAGCACTCAGGAGGCTGAGGCGGGAGGATCACATGAGTCCAGGAGTTCAAGACCAGCTTGGACAACGTAGTGAGACCCCACCTTGTAAATAATAATAATATTTTTAAAAAGTGACAATAACTATTATTAATATTATTCCCAGAACTACAATTTACTGAGCTGGATGCTGTAATGGGCATTTTACATATGCACTCTTGTACCAAATGTGAATTAGCATTCCTCTTACGCCACAGTGTTGCTATAAAGGTTAATGACGATGAGAGGATAAATGGCATGACTGGATCACAGCAGATGCTCAAGATATGGTGACTACTTTTGCCATTTATTCATCACCAGACAGTATGAAGTCATTCTGCCTCTGCAGTTAAGAAGATCTAGACCCTGGGAAATTAAACTTTCTCAATACTATACATGAAGCAAGTGGAAAGTCTAGACCTGTTTAAGAGGGGGGAGTAGGAGAGTGTGACACATGCATCTTGCCCATAACTCATGCTAAAAGACTTCATTCCAAGCCCCAATCAATGAGCACAAATGTATCAGTTTCTAAAGGGAAAGGCAATCTTGCTGCCAAATCATACTACAGGAACATTTTGGATGATTTTTGTCTCTTCCCTCTTCCAAGAGTAAGCAATGTGCACATTTTGAAGAGGAGGTAGGAAGAAATAAGTTTTTCTAAACCTTCACTGAATATGTTTGTAAAGAATGACCTATATATACATCAGCAGTTTCATTCGACTTTAAAATCAAATTCTACTAACTTACTATGATCTTAAAATGATACATAAAATTATCTACTTATTTCTGTCATATTGGGATAATCTGTCAACTTACACAGCCTTATTTTTCATCAATGACTGGAAAATTAAAGTGACAATTATTTGAGGAGTCCAATTTATTCTTCAGCTAAGCACTTATGCATGAATACTTTTTTCATAAAGATGTGGCTATAAGAAAGTATAACAGGGTGAATGCACTTATTTCTAATATTATAAAAATGGAAAAGCTCTTATAAATTTGAGTAAAAAGAATAGTCCATAAAATGTCAACAATTTATTTTATAAAAATAAAAAAACACTTAATAAGTGCCCATTTACACTGGACAGTGACCTACTCATTCATTGCAAAGGGAGAGGAACTAAAATCCATGACACCGTTATGAACTCAACCCATCTAAAGCTGCCCTTGGAAAATCTAATCCCTTGCTCTCTTTTAGGAAGATCCATTCCAGCCCATCAGAAGGAGATGAGAGCAAGATTCTAATAACTTCTTCACATACTGTACTAGAAGACCATCAAGGAAAGAAGAAGAAAACCTAATTTCCTTCTTCCTTACTCCATTGCTTCCCACGCCTGGAAAAATAAACAAACTGGGTGTGGCAATGCATGCCTGTAATTCCAGTGGCTCAGGAGGCAGAGGCAGGAGGATCACAAATTTGAAGTCAGTGTCAGCAATTTAGTGAAAAATTACTTATAACTT